CCAAAACAGTCTTGTCGCCGGCGAAAACGTAGCTGTCATGGGTTACATCACTTCTCCTTTGGAAAACGCCACGAAATATCCTCAAGTCCGCCTTTTCATCTTTCGCCATATCCACTAAATTGGGTACAAAATAAAGGAGAACTGTAAAGAGCGTATGTGAATTAGCTTAAAGAAAATATCTTTAATTAAAATTAAGGCAAGTCTAGAAGAGAGGCATAAGTGAGGCAGCCTTTGTACCTTACACGTTCTATGGTATAAGGACTACAATGATTATTCAGTCAGGTGATTGGTTCTTGGACAGATGTCAGAGATCATTTGACTCACCACAGAAGTCGGCTCCCTTGAACAAAAGTTTAGTTCCTCTCCAAAAGCACAACGACACTGCGCCGATATCAAAAGTCGCCTATTTGTAGTAAATGCAGATGAATGAAATAGATGAATAAAAGGGCATCATCACAGGGCGTCAATGGGAGTAAAAGGGCAAGAGCTACACTGCGGAAAACAATACAAGCAATGTGGCATTAGATTAGTTCATGTGGTTAACAAATGCATTTCTCCTTCGAGATGGCAAATTGTCTGAGTCTACGGAGCCAGACAATGTATGCTGATTTACCGCGGAGTTGTAGTTTGCTCCTCGAACGGCGAACTCAATTGTAAACGAGGGCATGTCTTTGACAAATCGTGAGAGCGGGAACGACGTCCACACATCAACTTCACCTGCCACAAACAATAGCACGGTGGTAAATAAAACCATGCTCTGTTTTGTCATCAATGGTTTTAGCCGCAAATGGGTGCGAATTTTGTCAAAACTCAAAACTCATGCGCTTACTGTAGGAGTGTCGGAAATGTGCCAGTTACTATGACAATTAACAGACAAGTCAACAATACGCCAATTACAAGTGCTGAAGTAATCACTGCAACTACTATTTTATCAAACCAAGCTAATGTGTGAGATGCTCTTGTGTCATTCACACACGTCTCGGTTAGTTTTCCATCTTCTTCTTCCTCTTCGATGTGTCAGGCTAGTGATTCGTGTGATGGGCACAAGTTACCTGCAGGAGGCCGTGTAAAATTGCAGCGTGGCACAAAGAATGTTGTTGAAGCCACTCTGGGACGAAGCGTGTCTTCATCCATCTCCATGACCTTTTGTGCAGTCACGTTTTGCATGGTGATGTTAGCATAATCTGCAAGAGACATACGTCCAAGTAAGAAGTAGCAGTGTCATTTTTTAAATATTCTCCTCTTTACAGCTACTTTTGTTGAAAACAAAGGCTGGGCAACTAAGGTTTAATGTTTCAGTTTGAACAGTTCGTAATTTAAACAAACAGGCTTCTTTTAACAGAAAATACTTCACTACATAATATTTTGTGAGGATGGGTAGATGCAGCGATTTGTGCAAGGCACAAATCGCTTTCCTCCACACCATTTTTAACTTAACCAAGGAAGAGTATGTTAAGGCGACAGCTTCTTACAATTGGCAGTGAACTGCTGACATTTCTTGCCACCACAGCTAATCGCAGTACATGGCCTTGGTGTTATGAAATGGATGTGAGTTGACGAAAGTTGACTTACTTGCTCCTCTGCTACAGGGACTGCCCCAATGATATCTGCCACTGAGGACACAACGCCCACCTTCAATTGTCATTACACCCAGCACTGAATCGTTAACGAGAACCGTTTCCTAAATGGAAAAGCTAGGCAAGTAAATCCGTGGCACCACTACTCATGCTCTAGTATTTGCATGTTATGCATAAAGTTGTTCAACCATATTTGCAACAAAAAAATGAATATTTGTTATCAATTCTTCGTGAGTTTACCAAACCCATTATGGAACGTACGAATTTGTCGTTGTACTCGTAATACATTGTGTCCGACGGTCCGGATGGCTTTCCAACCACTCGCGATCCCCACATCTTTGGCACTTTGTCACCTTTAAAACAAAATGCATTTGCCCTTCTCGTATCATGCTAGTATTGTTTCTCTGTCTTAAGCATGCTCACACTTGTATGCTACATTGCTCTGTGTACGGTTTTACTTCAAGCAAAATGACAGCTCGATTGATTGTAGCAAAGACTTGACAACTAATGCCGCACCTACTGTCACTCCTGGTGAAAAGCAGCCCACCTTCAAAAGTTAAATCATCAACTGCATGAAGTTGCAGAGCAGAGTGACATTATGATTGGAGTGAGTAAAATTGAGGAAATGCCTACTTACCTGAAGTAGAGGCGACAAAGATGAGCACAGCAGTGATTGCCAACATGGCACCTACTCGTGGCTGCTGAAGTGCTCTGTGTGCAGTTATAAGCTCCCTGATTTGAATCACATCAATGGAATTGGTTCATTTGGTGGTGGAATTGCGGCTACGAGTGAGAGTAGGAGGACCGTCAGTGTTAATCACACAACTGTGCGTCCCGCTTGCATCATGACTACAAACCGTGAAGTCTAGTGGTGGTGGCGGTGAAGTTGTGAGAGAATATCCAACTCCATTTCACTTTCAAGTAAGCGTTTCCATGTAAACGTGGATAACTTATTTTACAACTATGATGCTGGTTAATACACAATCATTGTGCATTTCAGAGGCAGGTATAATAAAATAAATTGAATTCCATTAAATTCATGAAAGACTGGGTATTCAATACAGGCACACTGAAGTAATTTATAATGAAAACACTCAATCACTCGTGATAAGGATTAGATGAAATAGCAAAAAAAGGGAGCAAAATGCCAGAACATTAAACGAAAAATTGGAATCTAGGTGATTGAACAACTTCCCTTATCTTATATACATACATATATGACAAAAAAGAGGATGCTGCTCTCACACTAGGAAATCGACAATATTGTTTTCCTTTTAAATCCACATATACCCTTATTTAGGCATATCGCCGAGGAAGCACTAATTTAATAACGGAAAAATTGTCAAAGGTAGGACTGCTATGTTTCGTACTGCCATCTTCTAGTCATACACTTTTTTCACTGTCGGGGCCACTGTAAGTTGCCGCCACACTCACACACGCATATGCACACACCTATGGATGATGATGACAAGGAGAGAGTCATGGAAAGCATGCCTGCGAGTAATGCCATAGACATCATCACTCTCCTTTTTCATCCAATCCACGGGGTCATTCTCAGGTGTACGTTGCAATTTTACTGAATCTCACGAGTGATTAGTAGCACTAAACTGCTACCATCCAAGTAGACATAATTTGCGATGACAATGGAAAAAAGGTCAATTAGTGTAAGAAAATGGAAGTGTTAAGAGAACCCTCATTTCATGAGTAGATGACAACCCCGATTAATGCAAATTAAATGTTACAGCATTGATTTAGTACCCAGTCTGTCATTTCGGGCTCTTTCCGCAGTCATAATGTCAACCTTCGTCAGAGGAGTGATGAAATCCCACAAATATGAACAGGAAGCATTGCTAACGACTTCCATAGTGACAACGTCCTCTGGATAATGCAAAACTACCTGTGACGACCTTGTCATCGCCTCGAAATTCCATGCAACAGTATGATTCACACTTGGTGATTTCACATTTCCCATATTCACAATTGTTACTCCGAGATAACGTGGTTCGAAAATGTTGCAATCATCCTCGTCATTTAGTGGTTTGATGCTGGTTGTGTAATTAATTGCTGTCATTGTGTATCTTTACCTCTCCTCACATGTCGTAGCACACATGCAGTTTCCTTAGTCATCGAAGTCTTTCATTTAACAGGCCCCTCCTACACCTCAACTGCCTGCTCTCGTAAACTCAAAGCTACACCCGACTTTTCACAAACGTCATCGCACGATTAGTTAACATGGTGCTGACATTGTACTAAAACCATCGCGTTAGTGACTTCAATCCCAACTACACGATTTGCGTCATGACATTAACGCAATTTTACTAAAGTTTAATAGATGCGGAGTGTGTAATAGTGCAAAATGTCAACTCACCAACAATAAAGTGCTTTTGTCTTGTGAAGTGATTTTTTGCCTGTGAGCACGCACCAATGTAAACTCAAGATAAAAACAAGAGAAAACATTGTCTTCAATGGCGACAATGCATGAAAAACCAGAATCCAGCATCCCCGTACGTTTACGAGTACACGACCACTGGCTAGGGAGCTGCGTCATACTGAATGGACGAGGGTGGGCCTCATTCTCACCTGGTTGTGTTTGTAGCGTGTCGCCTGTGCTCCGACTGCTAGCACACTTCAAGTCAGTCTCAACGCACCTAATGCTGACCACTGCGGAGTAACCCAAGGGGAACACCAATCGTGCCACTTAATCCCGACTGTTTCACAGAAGAACCTCCTCAGCTATTCGGTGATGCTTCGAGGAAATGCCATCTCTGAGGCTGCTGACATCGACAACACTAACTGGCTTAGGAAAGTCAAGTAGCAACGTGCTAGTAGCTGTGGGCTCCACATCTGTGAACCCTCTCTGGTGGGGTGGAATGGCTGAAGATGCGGCATGACATTAGTAGCAGCGTAACTCCATCCAAGATTGCATTAATTTTCGCCACCTGACACGGAAGTTAATGCCACTACATAATAATCTTACTGCCGGTACTTGTATCCTGTTTCATAAAAGTCGATCCTTACAGAACCCTGCAAAATCAACTAAAATTCCTGTTTGTCTACGGAAACTCCCAAAAGCATGGATCATGCACATAGCCTTTGGTCTTTGCGAATTGTCCTGATTTAGGCGTATGGCCCTGAAAAGGCGGGCATACAGTTGGAATTAGTGATAAAATCGGGGATGGGGAGGATTAGGAAGAGGAGGGGGGGACGGCTAATTGTTTCATGAAATATTGTCTACCTAATGTAATCAGCAGTGTTTAATTTGCGTCGTAGAAGGATGTGAATGGATAGAGCTAACAGTTAGCGTTCAACTTGTCGCTGCCTTGAACACCACATTTTGCTGAAGTGTTTCCTCCAATGAGTAGAAAATCTCGGTGATTTAACGCTTGGTTGAAAGACATGCGAAGTGGGATGGCTTTATACGAAGTGGTCACTTTAAAGAATTAAAATTTTTTTAGGAGAATTTCTCAAGCTATCCCATTTTTAAAAAGGAAAACACCTGTAAATATTTGGCTGTTTTTATACCAACGTGGCAAGTATGTAGAGCCTTGGTTTTCACATCCAGCCCAGTAGATCAAGCATGCGGAACATTTAGTCTTAGTTACTGACATTGACTTGCAACAAAACATTTCACACATGGACTGAGTGCTGCGATTTGGAAACAAATAATTTTTTATCAACAGTTGAATTTGAGGCCGGTATTTGTAGCATCTCTGCCTGCAAATGCGTTAAAATGAGGTAAACGAAAAGTTTTAAACGGTTTACAAAAGCATTTGTTAACACCGATAGAAATAGGTCACAGTTCCTAAAATTTTTGCATGGATTAGTACTCTTGTTTCGTTTTAAGTCATTTTAGCTTTGTTTAGTCAAAAAAAGTTTTATTTAACTTTGGATGTATGAGGGCGCCCCAACGACCTACTGTGTCACGTAATTAATCACAATGAAGGGGAGGTATTACAAGAGTAAGCCAATAGAAAAAATTGAGGGACTAAATTATCAGCTAGATCAAAAATGGCAATACATATAGAAAGGCGGAAAATTAATATAAGATTGGGTTCTGGAAATTCGCAAAACACACTACTTTGAACCGTGAGTGGTCCTAGTAAGGTGAAAATAGAGAAGCATCCCTATTAGCGTTTCAAAACATACGATCACGGACGTGCGCATCCATCGATGGGTTCCTAAAAGTTTTCAAATTTTGCTCGGTTCCACTGGTGACTGCCTATAGCTGAAATGCAGTACGTTCAAAAAGGCCCCATGGTGCTGATAAAATGAAGGAATTTTGTCTCGCCTATTGGCGCACTGATACGTGACTAAGGCTAGGGTTGGGAGGGATAAAGGTAGTGATGGAGGCAAGGTAAGGAAATTTAAATACTGTTGAATTGCTCTTCATGTGCATTGATTTTATTTTAACGGAGGAAGGCAGTTTAGAGGATGTTTCTCCTCTGAATGGTATATAGTGATTTAGATGTTTAGCAACAAGCCTGTGAAGTTAGGTAAAAAAGGGGAAAGACGACCGCACAGAGCTCGTAACCGCAACCACAATCAAATAAGCTTACATTTCTACTTGAAAGAGGGAATGGCAGAGATAAACAAGATTCGCTGTTAGGTCTTTGGAATGTGCGGTTAAGAAGTATTGAAAATTACGAGGCAAAGTGACATGTCATGTAAGTATGCCCGTAACACGCATTTGTTTTAGCTAGCCTTTTCGGTGTCAAGTGGGTAAGTTGGACGAGCTGCGAAATTGCGCATGTGTTATCAGTCCCCCAATTTTCCCAATGTTATGTCATATATCCTTCCTTTAACCTCCTTCTTGACCTGATTCAATTAAACTGAGGTGTGGAAGGACAGCACACTGGCAGTCATTATCAATAAACACTCAACTTCGTCCACTGTGGACAGGAGCTGTGGACACGACCTGGATGTTCTTGGTGTTCTCGCAATCTCCGCGAGCTGACATGTAGCTTTGTACTAGATTATATGGCCTTCATTACTTTGTATCCCACGCCTTTACCTTTCGTACCTGCAAATCAGATAAACGCTTCATATGTTTAGGGACTGACTTGTTCTTACCCTTAAAAGGAATGTGTAACGAATGGTACAGTAGGTCTATGGAAAGGAAAGGAATTATTTCATCTCAAAATGTGATTGAAGCGACATGTTTGCGGTGGGATGGTAGTTCAGCGGAATTAACATGCACATAGGGTAAATGCATTTAAGTGTGGAAGATGCAAAAATTGGATGGTAAATATTGAAGAGGGTGCAGAGTCAATGTAAATTTTTCTCTCGGCTTACCATAAACGAAACGATTCGCCTACTGGGCTTACTTATTGCATCAAAGGGATAGACGGCTCCGACATTGCAGTCATTCTGCAACAGTCACATCCCTAATCACCTCACATTAGTAGCTCTGTGGAGCCCTAGCTACATAAAGCATGTAAGCTATACCGTTTACCATCGACACTATGGCTGCCCTTGTTGAGGAGTTAGGTGACTGCACTACTAAACCGCGCCGTGAGCATTTTCAAAAAAAACCAAAACAACTAACCATTGTCCTCTAGCATTGGCTTTCGTTTTTTATCTCTTCATGCAACAAAATTTATATCAGTTATTTTGATTCGACTTGCATCCCCATGTTGGTAAGTCGTCAGGCTAATCCGAAATACGTGCTAGCGGTCAAATCGTGTCACCTACTTTGACCTCGACACGTGACAAATGTCAGCTTGCCAGACTATATAAGGACCGGAGTTCGGACCATTGTTAACGTGGTATAGCTGCAAACAGATCTGCGGTATGTCGTCCTTCATTTTGGTTAACCTTTCTTTACACGTATTTTCGTATAGTTTACAATGGACAATGATACGAATGTCGATTTCTTCTCCAAGCTGAATACACCCACAGCCGGATGGGCAGCCATTGCAGTGTGTGCCATATGTTTTGGCACCAACCTCATACCTGTCAAAAAGTTTAACATGGGAGATGGTAGGCAAGGCGTTTATTCTGAACATCTTTTGCAGGTCTGGGTTTCCAATGGCTCATGTGCACGGGAATCTTGATAGTTGGAATTGCTGTTCAACTGATTGTTGGAATCCTTTACAGAGTGCCCGAGTTTTATCCCCTCGCCATGGCTGGTGGAGCTCTTTGGGCTGTTGGTAAGTTACTTTTTAAAGAACACCACAGTTCTAATTCCCTACGTCCTTCTTGTCAGGAAATTCCCTGACCGTAGTCATCATTGAATCAATCGGTCTGAGCCTTGGCATTCTAATTTGGTCCATCGCAAACATGCTCTTCGGTTTTACAACTAGTCGGTGGGTATTTACACCTTCGTAAGCGTTACGACACTGCCACAACCTTGCCAACCTATTCGCTTTCAATTTTAGTTTTGGTGTTTTTGGAATTCCACCCAAAATACCTTCGAAACCGATTATGAATTACGTGGGAGTTGGAATTGCAGTTATAAGGTTGGTGGCACAAAATACCTCATCAAGAATGTTTAGCATTGCGCTCTACGCAGCGATTAAGCCGTCTGCGGATAAGAAGTCCGAAAATGAAGAAGATAACTCAGAACTGGATGTTGAAGGCGAACGCAAATGCTGTCCCTGCGCCTGTGTTCCGGCCCGTCATCTGCCCTCTGGTGTTAGACGTGCTCTGTTAGTAAAATTCCATCCTCTATCATTTAGAAGGAGCGGTGACTAAAATGCTCATCTCTCACCTCTGTAGCGGTATCTTTCTCGCTATTGCGGCTGGTTCCTTCTACGGAAACACTTTCGTTCCCACCATCTACATTCAGAGTATGGTGAAGGGCGCTAGCCAAGCTGGTTTGGACTACGTGTTCGCCAACTTTGTTGGAATCTGGTTGGCTTCGACAGCCATCTTTGTGGTTTACGCTCTGCTGAAGTGCAACCAACCCTGGTTTCCATCCAAACAGGCAATGATTCCCTCCCTTCTCAGCGGCATTCTCTGGGGTCTGGCCCAGTCCTCGTGGTTCATTGCCAATGCTGCTCTGGGCGAACCAATCACATTTCCCATCGTCACTACATGCCCCGCCCTTATTGCCACGCTCGTGGGCGTAGTCATTTTCAAGGAGATCAAGGTTTGTTATCATTGTCCATCTACTCTTGACTCTCCTGAACTCCTCGTATCATGAACGTCTACCTTTCTTGATCTACAGGGCAAACGCAATTTCATCATTCTTCTTGTCGCAATGTGTGTTACAATTACCGGAATCCTCCTCAACGCTTTCTCTCTGTAAGATAAATTATGTTACATGGCAATAAAGCACTGGTTAAAATTAGGAACTGAGATCTGTTTTCTCATTTTTTAATGTGGTTTGGGCCTTAAAGTAGAAGTAAAGCAATTCGCTTTCATGAAGATGTCTTAAAATTGGTTGCTACATTACCAAGAACGCACCTTGGGTGTTATTAAGTTCCGGAAAAGGGATTCGTTTGCTATGGAGATGATACATTGGTAGAAATAACCGAAAAGCCTTAGTTACATACGTTCAACTTGCCTCTGATTGCAATTTACTTGTTGTCGATTGAGGCTTTGCTGTGGTAGCGGGATTTGAGGTTCGTGGCATTTGTGTCGCCAGCAGGCGAGTAAAAATGTCACCTCAAAGTTTGGTGCAACTCACCCACAAATGTAGGAAGGTCATAAATGCGTGAACTTGTTTGTAGGCAAACATTATAGGGCGTAGGTGTGTGCCAGTCAAACGCAATTTCATTTCTAGCATTCTACTCAATTTTATCTAAATATTTTGGATTAGCCTAGAAATTTGGTCAATTGGCGTTTGCCCGTCCTTGATACTTATACGCACTACCAAAGTATGGAATGTTTCTCTCAAATTTGGTTAGAATTTCAAAGTGCGGTAGTAGAGCGTAACACTTACAAAAGGCCAAAATATTCCCCTTGGTGATGGTTTACCTAAATGTGGACAAAAATAAAATAAAAAATATGCGACAATTTTAAAATGGTTACTACCAGCATCACATGGACACGAAGCGTCAATTTTCTTAGCTGAGGTCTCACGACAAGCAGGGAAAGCCATTAAATCTTTATAAAAATACTGTCAAATGATTGCAATGGGTTGCGTGTTGCAAACAGATTTGGGACGATGAAACAGATGTCGACTAAGCTTTACTTTTTGGGGCCACATTTGATTTGACCCAGAACATGCATGAAAACTGATGTCACCTTTGAGCATCAAAGCATCTCAACTGTAGCGATAGATCTTCCCTCGGAGATGCAGAGGGCAAAGGTGTTAAGCGAGGTACTTATCACCAAAAACAATCAAAATATAAGGTTAACTCTAGAAAATTAATGAGAAAATATCAGGACCGACAAATTAACCTTTAATAAAATGATTTTCAAAAGCCGGCGAATTAGAGTGCATAAGGAAGGAAGATAAATTTAAAAAAACTCATTGTTTAATAGAGCCTAAGTGGTCATGTTCGCCCGTAGCAACGGATACACATTTATTCGGGCATTTTGGTTGTACGTTGGCTAAAATGCTTCTGCTTTCTTAGGAGATACTTCTCTTTCAAAATGGGGCCAAGTTTTGTTGGTTTGAGCGCAAGAGCGCACCGCGTTCCGTGATTGTTCCACGTAGGATATTGAAGTCCTGCATTGGTTCTTCCTGTTAGTGGAAGAAATAATCTTTCTAAGAAGGCAAACATGAAAAAACGCAATTTTTAGAGTTCCTTATTATTAATAATTTTTACCAACGTGACAGGTATGTGGGGCCCCCGGCTTCCTCATCCGAGCCTGTGATACACGCATATGTGTAAATTACCACTTAGTAGGTTGCGCCGCCGACTTGCAGAAAAATCGCATTACAAACGGATTGGGTAAGTTGAATGAAATAGGGAAGATGCAGTATTATAGTGAGTTAAAACCAGAAATTGAATTTTTTGGTTTTTGATCAACAGTTGAACATTCTGATGGCAGAGGCGTTAAAACGAAATAGGCGATGATGGCCTTATTAAAACATTTTTTACACTAATGCAAACAGGTCATAGAAGGCTTGGCTTTAACTGTTCCGCAAATTGCTTTGGAAATCAGGTCGCTTTGTTCCAGCTTAAATTGGATTAAATACTGGTGAATCGAAAAACATGCCAATCCTTTGATTTAAAATGGTTGAAATAACTTAACCATCTTTTGCCATTCCGTTACATTTAACAACTATTATATGTAACTCTGAATTCATGAAAGCTCTTCAAGTTTCATTTGTCAATGGAGTAATCATCGCCGAAGAGAGATGCTATAAGAACAAGCCAATAATACATACGCAAAATATTTTAAATGGCAAAGATAGCAATAAAATCAGGGGAACTTATCATCAGTTAGGTCAGTAAATGGCAAATCGTATACAAAGAAAAAATAAACGATTTTGGAAATGGGGGCCTTGAATTACGCAAAGGACAAAAGCTTGAACCACTAGAGGTCCCTGTAAGGGGAGAATAGCCAAGTAAAACAGTCTGCCGCACCAGCAAACTGATGCGTACCTATCTTTTCATGAATAATGAAGCCTAATAGAATAGCAAAACTTTGGCACTGTCGCAGCAGCAACTCGTGCCGAACATGACCCAACCCGTTCTACCATTCCATACATCTATGCCAAAATTTTTGTCAACCAGTACATAAGCATATGTCAAACATATCTCGCCCAATACAAATTTGCCTATCTATATTCTATTCTTGAAAAGAATTAATGAAACACTTTTATCCAAACATACCCACCTTTGACGTTGTTAGGAGGAAATTGCCAATTTTGACTGCAACCCAAATATCATTCAAGTTTTTTGCAAAAGGCTGACACAGTGAATAGACAGAAAACAAATCATGATTTGACATCGAATTCCACTATTTGTCATCCCGGAGAAATGATCGGGGGGAAGTTTCTGAAAGGTGGCTCTAAATACTTCCTTAAAACATAGAGCCGTAAACATAAAAGGATCAGTTTTATACTACTTTTATCGGCGCACAGACGACAAGCAACTACAAATCAAAACTCTTCAAACGTACTTATATTGTTCTTTCAAGTCAATTAAATGACACTAAATTAAGCATTGACTAAGATTGGCTACTACGAGCCATTCACTTTTGAATGAATATCTTCTGCTGAATGTGAACACTCTACTAAGCTCATCTAGGTAAACATACATAATGTTGTGCATTTTCGAATCCTAATTGCAAAAATATGATATTTTTGAGCAAAACTAAAGCCAACACTAATCTCCTTGTGGCAAAATGGTCGGCACTAGGTGGAACAATTTACCTCAAAGTTATGCTTCCAAGACTGTATTTTCTGATTGAATTTCAGCAGAAGCACAGAAATTAGGGACTTTTGGAACCACGACAGGTAGAATGAGACTTAGTAAGAAATAATTGTAATTATGATTAACCCATCTTGATCGCCCCATATAAAAGTTATGTAAAATGACTGGGTGGGAGAAAAATTATTACAGCATCGCTATCATCAAAACTAAGGTGATAAGTAGATCCACTTTAGGAAAAGTTTCGGTGTAAACAATGGTTCCATTGTGAGGTAGGCGTATAGCAAAACCGCCGAATGTGATTATAGAAATTATGTAGACATATGAACGTAAAACTGTCCGACTTCTAAGCACTTCGCTTTTAGAAGTTTTACCCCCCCCCAGGATTAAGAAGGGCAAAGGGTTGGCCTTAAATGAAAGCGGTACTTAAAAGTTTGTTGTATGAAGGGAGGAAGACCAAGTGAATTTCCAAGTTGAAAATAATC